ATGTATGTGTCTGTGTATAGGTGTATACATATAAGACTTAGTTTGGAAATGACAAGGTTAAAAACAATGTGGAAGCCTGGTGTATGCCTATGATCCCAGCAGAGGCAGAGGCAGGCAGATCTCTGTGAGTTCAAGGCCAGTACTTTGGTCTACAAAGTGAGTCCAGGACAGCCAAGGCTACGCAGAGAAACTCTGTCTCTAAATGCCAAAAAAAAAAAAAAAAAAAAAGAACAGTATGGAATTTTTGTTAAGTATTTTGTCTATAGAGGCTAGAAGTTGGTCTGGGTCATTTCTGACTTTGTGTTTTGGGACCCCAGTCTCGTTGGCCTGAGGCTAAGCTGCCTGAATAATGAGGGATCCTGTGGCTTCACCTCCCCAGCACTGACTCTGGAAGCTTGTACCACCACACCTAACTGAAGTGTTAAGATTTTTATTTGCTTGCTTTTTATTTTCGTAGGCTGTTAACAAACTGATGATCCCCTGCCTCGGCCTCTGAGTGTTGGATTACACATGGATCAACACCACTCCTATGGAGTTTCAAGTTTGGGTTTTTTGTTTGCTTTTTGGTTTTTTGAGACAGGGTTTCTCTCTGTAGCTTTGGCTGTCCCGGCACTCTGCAGATCAGGCTGGCCTCGAACTCACAAAGATCCTCCTGCCTCTGCCCAATGGGATCCCTCTGATGGGATCAAAGGTGTGCGCCACCACTGCCTGGAGGGGTTTCAAGTTTTTAAAGTCATTTCTGCCTGGCATGTGTTGTAGGAGAGTAGATGTTCCTTTCTACTCTCAGTCATGGTGGCCCCAGAGAAAGCCATTCAAGCAGCATCAAAACCAGCAGAATAATGTCAAATCCTGTGAGGGCTTTACTGGCTACAGACCCACTTTACCTTCACCCCTACGTGGGTGAAGGTATTTGAGGCTCTATATGCTACTTGTGTCACTTGACTCCTCTCTGCCAATCTAATGAGGTAGTGGCTGTGACATTAGATCCTCATCCTGTGGCCCTTAGGAATACAGTAACATTAATGCATTGGGTGATATGATTCTAGTCATCTGTGACTTCTCAAAGTTACGATGTTGACCAGAGTTAGCATATTTGACAGTAAGCAGAATTCCACTGTGACAGATGTGTGTCAACAAGGGAATTGTTCGTAGCGACACAGCTATGTCTCAAAGAGCTGTCGGCTTCTGAGAGCCACGTTTGTAGTTCCTCTGTCTCCCCTAGCTTTTTTTGTGTGTGTCTCATAATCTGGAGAGCAAGTTGTGTCTTTTTCCTCAGGCTTGTGGTCTAGTTTTCAAGTCTGCCTTTGAGCAGTCAGCTTGATTAGTATCTTTGAGCCTTTCAGAGAAATTAATAGGAGAGATAGTCATCGTGCGTTTGTAAGCTAACTCTTGTTAGCTCCCATTGCAGCTAATGGGGAAGAAATGGTTCCTTCCAAGAGGCTGGGGACTGGGAACAGTAGTCTGGGGAAAGGGAGTTTGGGGTTGTACGAAATGCTACAAGGTTTCTCTGAATTATTTTGTCTCTGGAATATTAAAGAAAGAATTTCAGACCTGACTTAGTGGTGTTCAGCAGTAATCCTTGCACTTGGGAGGCTGAGGCAGGGCAGTCCTTACCCAGCCAGCTCTGTCTTGGACTATGTTCTCATCACTAGTCAAGACAAGTACTGCAGTTTTCAACAGCTGTTTGAATTTAATGCTTCGCTTTGCTTTCTCTTCACAGAGGGATGATAAAACCTGACAAAAATAGCTGTGCTTTAATGTAGTTCTTCAACAGTGACAGAGAATGGAAACTCTGAATGAGAATTCCCAAATTCCCAAATACTCACCTGTGCTTGTACAACTTGTACATGTACATAAATCGCTTGCTCACTCCCAAAACATTGCATCAGACTCAGCCTCCCCTAACAGGCTCCCCAAACTCCCTAACACACCCCAAGTTTGAAAAGCCTGTCCCCAGAGAGTGGATTTGTGGCATCTTCTGGGATGGAAATTACATTTACCTCCAAAATAGGCTATCTTAAAAGGGTTTTTCTTGGGCAGTGGTGGCCCATATTTTTAATCCCAGCACTTGAGAGGCAGAAGCAGGCAGATCTCTGAGGTCTACAGAGTGAGTTCTAGGACAGCCAACACTACACAGAGACACCCTGTCTGAAAATCAATACAACAACCACAAAAAAACAAAACAGAGGGTTTCTCTAGGTAAGCAAGTGACACTGTCATCTTTACAGCATCTGACAGTTCTAACACGGCCTACACCCAGGTTTATTCTCATGCCATAGTTTTGATTTAACAATCAGACTCTTTATTCTACCCACAGCTTTTTATCTAAGTAAAATTAAATAAACACAGTTTATTTGCTGACAAAACTGTTGTGTCTTTTAGCATTTTCCAGTCAGGGATTGACGGATGACATCATCCCCAGGGTGTCATTTATTGTGTTTTTCTGTCCTGTTTTAGTTTTTGTTGCTGTTGTTGTTGTATTAGGCACTGAACCTCACGTAGGACCTCACATGCTAACGAGGTGCTCTTCCACTGAATTTTTTTTGCAAGCCTAGCCCTCTTTACTGTTTAGTTTGAGACAGGGTTTCCTTAGGTTCCCAGGCTGTCGTTGAACTTTCTATCTTTATGCCTCAGCCTCCTGAGTGACAGGGATCATGGGCTTCTACCACCAGCCCAGCCTTTTCCTTCACTCTCTCCTGTCCTTTTTCCCTTTCTCTTCCCCTCATTCCTTCCTTCTGTCCATCTGCCCTTGGCTGGGTCTTTTGCTGTATCCCCAGGCTTACTGTGTAGCTCACGCTGCTTTAAACTTACAAATCCCTCTGCCTTTTGTGTTGGGATTTCAGGTGTGTCTGAGATTAGGTATTTTGGTAAGAATACTTTTTAGGTTGCTTGGCAGACTCCACTCTTTCGCTGTGGTACAAGTGTTTGTGCTAAGTCACTTTGCTAATGTCACTCATTAAAGTTTACAAATTATCTCTGAACATCCAATAAATGCTGAACACAAAATAGAGGGCTCCAAGGCAGCATCTTATAGTTTTAAGTAACTTGGAGTGGACAGTGGATATTCCAGGTGTCTTTACTGAGCCCTAACCTAGTATGCTATATAGAGTAGTTGGATCTGCACTAACTTCATAATTGCCCTGTGTGTGTCTTTTGTATTTCCTGAGAAGACACAGTCTCCTTTGCTTTCAACCCTTGATTTTCTTTGGAGGGTGGGGGCTCATTCTCAGGCATGTCCCCTATTTCTCATTTACTCTGTGTCTGAGCTGTGTTACTTTGCCTAGGTGTCCTTTAGGTTGTTCCTTCATATAAGGACCACCTACCTCTGTCTTTTTGCTTGTGACAACTAACAGATAAATCTCAAAAAACATCTAATACATTGACTATCACTAAAACTTACTGGAATTTTTGTGCCCACCTTTTGAAAATATATTTGTTTATTTATTTTAACTTTATTGTTTTTTGAGACTTTTTATGTAGTCCAGGTTGGCCTGGAACTCACTTTGTAGCCAAGGATAACTTTGAACTCTGGCTCCCTTGTGCTGGGATTACAGTTAGGGCCACCACACCTTGTCATTTTGTTTTTATATTTAAAATTTTTATGTATGTATTTAGTGTGTTGATTTTCATGTGATGGCACTAATAAGAAAGTCAGAGGACAACTTGGAGTCAATTTTCTTCTAATGCATGGTCTTGGGAATTAAACTCAAGTCATCAGGATTGGTAGCAAGTGCTTTTACCCACTGAACCATTCAGCTGCTTGCTTTTATTTTTTAAGACAGAGTCTCAAGCTGGCTTCACATTTGCTATGTAGACAAGAATGACCTTGAATTTCTTTTCTTCCTTCCTTCCTTCTTTCTCTTTCTTTCTTTCTTTCTTTCTTTCTTTCTTTCTTTCTTTCTTTCTTTCTTTCTTT